CTCATTAACATTGTCGCAAAGCAAAGCTATTAAAGATCATTTACGACAGACTGCGCAAATCAAGTAGCTACAGTGGACTTTATAAAAATGGTAAGCAGACCGAAGCGGAGTAGCAACACAGAAAAAAACAAGTGTAAGAAAGGGAATTTAATTTCTATACCGAGACACAAAATGTGCGCAAAATATTTAAGTAAACAAACAAACAATAGTTATTACGCAACAGTCAATAACACACAAATTCGCATTGAAACGAATTGATTGATTGCCAGCGCAGAAGAAGGTGTGGCTCGCTCACAGCACAAAAGGCGTTAAATAGACGTTTTTGTTTTTTTGCGAATATTGTTAACCAAAACTCTCTACGAATGTGAATGGTAACTCAAATAAAATATGTTTATTAGATGTCGCCGGCGAGATGCTACTACCGAAGCCACCGCCACCCTCACCCGCACCCGCACCGAGGTATGCACATTAGCTAGCGAATTACACACGAACAATGTGCAGCGGGCGCAGCGCAACGTGACTGACAAAATTAATGAAGACTGCGTCATAAACGAAATACACAACTTTCACCACAAAAACTGTATAAACGCACTTGGAAGGCATTATGCTGATACATACATACATATGTACATATTTACATACTAAATCTACTATGTATGCCAAGTTGTTCGAAAACAACAATAAAGTAGCAATGATAAAAATGTAAATGCGCCATAAAAAATGTGACACGAAAATGAGTGACACCCACCCACAATGTGACATAAAATACAGATGCATTTACAGCAGCAATTCTTGGATGTGCGTCTATTACATACATACATACATACATAGTACATGCATACTACTGTTATAACTGCTGTTGTTGATGTTGCTTTTATTGCTGTTAATGTCACGAAATAACAGTTACCATGCGAAAAGTTCAAAACTAATGCATTTTGAGTGCGAATGTCACGATGCAAATGGATTTGCGAGTACATATGTGGAAAATTTACACGCACATATAAATTTGTGTATGTTTATTAGGGTAATCCAAAAAAAATATATGCGGGGGAAAAAAAAAGTTTAAAATGCAAAGCTAACACCGCCTAAGACTTTTCTTTATGGAAAAAAGAATAAACGTTTTTTTTTTTTAATGCTGTCTAGAACTGACTCGAAGTCTTGCAGGTATTTTATATGGGGAAAATCCCTTTTTAGTAGAAATGGTATAGAATTCTTTAAAATCGATATTTTCGATCTGTTCCTCTTTAGAAGGCTTCTAATAACAATACCCAGTGGTTTATTTAACCGTTTCTTAATATTACTTATTTTTTATAGAACCCCCAAAAACCACAAAAAATGTATTGGGGACCCATAAAAAATCGTTAGTAATAAATAATAGTAAAATAAAAAATTGGGTATTACTATTGGAAGTCTCCTAAAAGAAACCGAGTTTTCCGTTCGAAAAATATTCACTTTCAATAATTCTATATTATTTAAACAAAAAAGTGTTTGTCCCCAAACAAAAAAAAATGGAAAACATCACGGTCCCTGCAGTTCTGAATATAATTTAAAATAAACAAATTATATGACTATTCTTTTTACCATATACAAAAATTCTAGGGGTGAGAGCTTCTAATTTTTTTTTTTTTGACACTCTAATGCTTATTCATACGTAGGTATATATAGTACATATGTATGTATGCTGGTACGCTTGTAAAGATATGCAGATTTAAACTTTAGTTCCAATCGGAAAAAGCATACCAAAAGCAACGTTGCAAAATTCACAGTTTTAACTGTAAATTAAAAGTTTTTAGGCAAAAATAAATAAATTTAAATTAAATTTTTAAGTTCCGAACCCGTCCATCTCGACTTTTTCACAATTGTGCCGCGGGTCCCGTGGGTTCCGAAATCAATTACTAAAAAAAAATCGCATGTCTTTCAAATTAACTTAAATAATAAAAAAGAGAATTAAAGATCTGGCATCTTTCGATTATTTAGTTTTTCTTGCAGCAAGCGTCGTTTTCGTCTCAATAAAACATAAAAAGTTTTTATTTCATACAACGTTTTCGAGGAAGATTTTATGAATTTGCGGCGGTTACGGGTTTTAACGGAAGTGTCGGGAAAGGATTTTGGTCCCGTTCCGCCCGCAAAATTAGTAAAGGCCATCCCGTTCATTTTGAAATCAGTACCGTAGGTCCCGCGAGTCCCAATATCCCGCGGCCATCTTTAGTTCAAACATCGAAGACCAACGCCAAATGCCTTTTTCTGAACCTGCCGTTAGATGAAACTGAAGCTAGCATGTATTCGATGCACTGATTTATATACAGTTTAGTAAGCTGCTGCTGCAAAAAAATTGACAGATTTTCGTTTGGCTTTCATTTCAATTTTTAAATAATATTAATAATAAATTGATAAAAATATTCTAGTTCTATTTTCAATAAAATAAATATTTAGAGTTTGTATATATATGTTAATTAACTAAGTGAAAACCCAGTTTATTCGACTGAAAAAATCCGATTTACTCGGTATTCGAAAAATCAAGATTTCAAAGAAAAAAAACATCTAAAAATACTCAAAAACAGACGGTTGAGACCGGTTTAGGAAAAGCGAATCAATTACCTTAGTATACACATATGTACCTATAAACAAGTTGAAGATTTATCCCCAGTCTGACCAATCAAATTTAAAATTTATCAGAGGCTGCATTTCTTTATTCATTCTGAAGGTTTGGAATAAACTTTTTTGTTTACTTATGGCCTTATTAATAAAAAAAGTAGCTTTATAAAAGGTTTCTTAATTGAAAAATGTATGAAAACGCCAATTTATAAAGCTCTTTAAACCTACTTTGTTTTTTATGAATTAGGCCATTAATCTTTAGAACGTTCCTGATGATATGTTAACGTATATTTCAAACACATTCTGTTTTTTCCGGCTGTGAAATGGGATTATCCGGAATGTATAAAGAAACGCAGCCAGATTGTTAAAATTTAAAGTGAGAAATTTTCCGAGCAAAATTGTGTCATTTTAAGTTTAAACAGGCTGATAAATTTAAAATTAATTGGTGCGACCGGGCATCTGAAATTAAAATGAAGCACTAATAAACACAAAAACAAAATAAAAACGCTCCAAAGCACATAATAAAAAACCATACCACGCAAATAAAGTTATCAGAGCAACAATGCAATTCGCATATTAATTGTGGGAATATATACTAAATACAAACGAATGTACGTGCATCACACATGCAAGGTATGCGCCACTATACCAAAGCCACCAAAATGTAAATAAAACTGCATTAATGCATGAGAAATTGCTTGGGCGCTCAATAAAGTGAGTGGCAACTAGCAGTGAGGTGTAACTGCACCTCCGCTCTCGCCCAGGTGCCAACAAAAAAAAAAGCGCGGCACCCACTGAAGGTATGTAAACATGCCAGTGAGACTTTTGATTTGTTGGCAACAGAGTGGCGCGTGGCCAATAGCTGTCATTGCAAACTGGCATATCAGCACTGCAGCCATCAAACCACCTCTCCTGCGACAGAAACAACGTTCACAAAATAAACTGTTGAAAATTTAATAAAATCAATGGACCACAACAACGAGCCGCCCGCAAGTCCGCATTTAATGCCAAAAGTCAGCCGCAGACCATGTGGTCGGCAATAAATAAAAATTTCTGCTAGCCGAATAACAGAAAATAGGCTGACGTTTGACAAATGGCACAAGCGGCCATAAAATTTGTTGAAACAAGTTTAATTCGATAGAAATGAAGGTAGGCGCGTTGGTAGTGAGTTACACATGCATATGTAAGTATGTATATATATACATATTCAATTAGAAATGAATGTACATATATGCATATGTACGTGCCGCCCGCATTTTGATAGCACGTCACACAAAGTCAATGTGACCAACCGACCAACTTCCATGGCAACCAAACCTCAACAAAGTCATCAAAACAGTAGCGGCATTTTAAAGGCGTAGACCCTAAAAGCGGTTGGGGGTTGAGCGCAGTGAATTGACTGAGTACGTAGTTATTCACTCAGCCGCTCAGAGCCGCGTTACGTGCATTAGTAGTTAGTTAGCTCAGTCACTGTCCCTTTGAGGTAACAATTTATGCAGTTTGGGGTGCATCCACCAATCGACAGCCACAACCAAGCCGCCAGTCAACTAATTCCGCGCTAAAGCACCGGCATTTTCCATTCGCGTGTATTTTTGCTTCTGTTTTTGTTTTTTGCAAACTTCAGTTTCATAATTAAATTCCATTTCAAATTCGGTTTGCGGTATAATCTGCTAGCGGTGTGGCATTGGGCGCTGCGGTGGCGTGAACTAACGGGGTACCAGCATCAATGTACCCCGCCATCATAGCGTGCAGCATGTCATTGTGGAGCGGCAGCAGGTGAAAGTGCGCTAGTGCTGTTGCTAATCTTTTTTCTTATTTTTTGTCGCACACCACGCCTACAAACATACTCGTAGGTGTGTTTATCATATATTTACATACATATGTATGTATGTATCGGTGTGATAAAATACCCAGTACGGTATACTACCAATTTCCTAAGAAAAAGTAATTTATTTCTGCTTATGTAGCAACCGACTTCAAATTGATGCATAATCACTTAGCAGCCTCCTTGAGATAAACCAAATGCTTACACTTTTGACATCTTTGCAAAGAATTCAGTATTAGTTTAAAAATCATCTTACTTTGTGCAAGTAACTATTTCAACATTAAATGCTAAGTAGTTTTAAATTGGTTGAAAAGACATCTAAAAATATATGTATCACATATTTTTAAATTTTTATTTTTACAAAGTGCGCATAATGCAAACTGAACAACTGAAAGCACATTTACATATCGCTTCCAAAATGTCCGGGTTCGAATAACAACAGAGACAACATGTGAAAATGATCATAAAATTGTTTTTTTTTGTGTCTTGGAAATATGAAACGGCATCTGTGAAGTCCAGAACGAAAGCGTATTCGGACGAAACATACTGACTTTGAAGTGATTTAAGCCAAATGCATTTTAAAGTAGTTGAAATCAAATGCAGAGTCGGATAACTGATTGCCTCCTAGGACATCGCCATGTTAAAGTGAACAGTTTGTTACAAAGAGGAAAATTATATCTTCAATTAGTTGTGGTGGGTAAAAAACTGGTTGAATATCAATATTTAAATTAGTTCCTTTCCCTACTGGGTGCATAACCACGCATATGTATGTGTAAAAGAATATGTTTGTACTACGAGCATTTACATAATAAGCTGCAACCAGTGTTGCCAGAAGCAAAACTTTATAAAAATCATCATAATGAAAACTTCTGGCAGCACTTGAAGAAATCTCTGTGGTTTCAATAGCAAATGTGGATAGGGTTTTCTCTCAGATTAATATAAATTAAAAAAAAATATTTTGTAACAAGATGAAAACCAAAACTTTAGGTAACGTTATTTTCACAAAAGATCACTTAAAAAGAATTTAAATACGAGCGTCATAACATAAATTAATGAAAATGAAGATACATCGAAACATTTCAAGGCTATGATATATAAATCATCAAAAAATTTTAAATTTGTAAATGGAGCAATCTTTATGGGAGATTTTTCCTTGTAAACGATGCGTCTGGTTGAAAAACTCCTGAGTAGATTCTTAATTTTATGCAGAATAAATATGTTGGAGTTTATCATTTTTCGAAATTTCGTATTTTTCATTCATTAAAAGTGCTCGAAAATCTAGTTAAAGTGTGTCTGTTTGGGATGAGTTCATTTGTTAGACTTTGTTTGTTAATTATGCAGTGGTGGACATCTTGACAAGTTTTAGCATATTATTTTTTATTTAATTTTGGTCAATTTTTTCTAGTTTCATTAAAAAAATTAACAAAATTTCGATAAAATATCGACCTCTTTTTATAAGATTCCCTAGAAAAGTTCTGAGGATACAGTTTTGCATCCCATTGAACACTAGTAGAATAAAATATAACTTTCAAATGGTTAAAAATTAGATTTTTTTTGCCCCATTTACTTCCACAATTTATTTTTGTATGGAAAAAAACCGTAACATCTTCGAACATAAAATCAGCGGTAATGTTTAGCCATTTGAAACTTGTACTTTATTCTACTAGAATTCAATGCGCTATAAATCTGCATACCCAGAATCTGTCTACGAAATTAAATTAAATTATTAAAAAAGTTCGAAACGAACAATTGTTGATTTGTTTTTGTTTTAAATATTGCACAATGATTGGAACTTGATTTTACAAGGTTTTGTTAAAGAATAGACAATGTTTTTATAGAAAAATAACAAAAATTAAATAGCAACAAAAAAAAACTATGTTAAAACTTTTTAAAATGCTCCCTGAAAAAAAATAGCTAAATATATTTCTATCAATACATGATTTCGTTATAGTTAGTGAATTTGGTTATAGTTAGTTACAAAATCCTGTGTTGAGAAAAATATTTTTAGCTGAAATTTTTCTGGGTGTGTTTTTTTGAATTTGTTTATAGTTTTCGATTTTTGAAGACTTAATCTTCACTTGGTAAATTTCTCGGGAAAAACTTCTGGCAACACTGGCTGCAAAAGCTAGGGCATACATAGAGTCTGCTGGTACATACTGGGTACGTGTTCGTTTCTACACACTGTTGACCGTCGAATATTCAACCAAATTTTCTCTTGAAATTAATTTCATTGTAATTAATCAGTGATATCATTAGTCAGCTTAGTACAGCTCTAAGCTAAGCAGTGTAGCGTACCAACTCACTCAACTGTGTGGGTATTAAATGTATGGTCGAGCTGAGCTGTATTACCATTAACTGCAAGAAGAGAAGAGGTGTTTTACAATTTTTAATAAAATTGTAAAATGTAGGAAATATGTTCAACTTTAATGTTGGAAATTTTCGGGGCAACTAGTTTGGCCCAAGCGAATTTTAGTAATTCTTTACATAGCACTCATTTCATTTTTAGCTAATATTTCTCCATTCTGGTCGCGCTAATTACCGCAGGGTATTCCAGCTCCCACTCAGAAACTCTTTTTAGAACTACCGGTGAATGTATATATATATATATTTTTGTGCAGTTTGATACCGGTTATGTTGTTTTATCAATTTAATTGAATACGATTTTTTAAATAGTTGGCAACCCTCAAAAATATTTTCGGCAGTAAACTTTTCTGAACCTCTTAAATTTTGTAAATAAAAAAAATGTGTTTTTCATTCGCTGGCGACAAAAAGACAAAATGGGTAAGCATCGTTAGACTACAGAAATTCAATGTAGGCTAAAGAGGCGAAATTCCCTTAAATGCCGAAATGTATTTGTCGACGTTCGTGGGGACCTCTTGATTTTGCCAAGTCGCTGTAAAGTAAAGCGCCCAATGGTTCTGGTAAATGAGTCTACGAAGGTTTTTAGGTTTAGAATGAGATTATGACGCAATATAATATTGGCAAACCGTATCCATGGGCTCGGTTTAGTTACTGTCGCGATGTTTTAATTGCGCACTTAATGTCGCAATCGTTCAATAGCTTCGTGCCCTTTTCATTCTTTCTAAGTTCGACCAGCACGAACAGCCAGCCAATGTTTGTTATTCTGATCGACGGCATAATGTCTCCGGAACACTAAGGGCTGCTTTCTCAAACTCAACTCAACTTCAGCCATTTTTTGGACTTAAGTCAAAAGTTAGTCAGGGCTATCACAGAATCCATCGTAGCTTCGATTTTCGTGAAATCTACGAAAGTGCTATCACAGAATCCGAATGGCTACGAACGTAAATTCCAAATTCGTAGAGAGCCTTCATTGAATCCGAATGAATGAAGATTCGTACAGATACTCTACGACGAGATTATGCTGTCGGAACAAAATTTAAAATCACTCAATCTTAAAAATAGTGGAAGAAAGCTGCATTATTTTTAATATTAAATATTTATTATACTCCAAATTTGTTATAGTTTGATATAATTCCATATATTTGTGTAAACGTAGACGTAAAATACCAATCTATACATACATATATACACGCATTCATCTGCTAGACGCTATTTAATGAATTAATATCTTGCATGAATCGAGGAAATAATAGTTTAGCAACAATTTATTAGGAAATAAACCTAATTACTTTAATATCATAAAAATTTATTTAAAAAAAAATATTTCTATTTAAAATAATAAAATCTAAGCTAAAAATAAACTAAAAAAAATATTTATTAAAAAAATAAACAAAAATTAAATAAAGAAAGAAAAAAATCTCCACTGCCCCACGACTCGGACTCGAACTCGGCTCTGTCAATTGGCGGTCTAGTGCTTTGCACACTCGGCCATTGCGCCTGATTGGGCAGCGTGAGCAAAATGACATACATAAATGTCTGTTGTTTCCTTTGCACTAACTGATTTCGAATCAGCATTCGAAGCTGGCAACGATATTTTCGAGTTCACTCGGATTCAGTGATAGCAATTTTTTCGTATTCGTAGCAGGCATTCGGATTCGTAGATTCTCTACGATGGATTCCGTGATAGCCCTGAGTATACTTTTTATTCAGCTTATTCTTGACTAAGTCCAAAAAATTGGCTAAACTAAGTTATGTTGAGTTGGAGAAATCAGCCCTAAGGGCCAGTTTTCCAGTGCACGGCTGTGGTTTAAACTTAAGGCTTATTTTCACAATGTCAAATTAAATGAAATTTGTCGTCAAATGAGTGAAAACATATTGTCAAATGGGACTAAAAAAAAGCTCCCTTGATTGATTTAGATCAGAATAGGTCTTCAGTCGTGTACATAAGCTGCTAAAGCGGCTATTTAAAAGTTTTTGTCCCATAATATCATCGGTAAAGGTATGGCACCATTAAAGAATTCGCGTTACCACATTAGAAGCAATCGGGCCATAACCGCGAAAGAAAAATAACCCCCATATGTTTTTATTTGGAGTCCTTTTTTATAAAAATTATATAATTTTTCCACAAACAAATACTTTCTTCATATCCATCAACCGTAAATGGTAACGCAAAGAATTTACAAAGGCGAAAAAAAACAGAAAAAAATCGCAAAGTGGACTATCCATTCTCAAGTTGTACGCGGTCTAACGTACGCAATTTGGCATACATACATATGTTTTTTCATTTCATTTCATTTATTATTATAAAGAAAATTAGTACAATAAGATCCCAAAGATCTTTTTTAGTACAACGCACATACCGGTATTTTGATAATCTAGGCGGCCAAAACTATTTTAA